CCGCGAGGCCCTGGAGGCGCACGACCAGGCCCTCGAGAGCGGCGAGACGGCTGACGGCGACGGCATGGGGCTCTCGCGGACGTCGGCGCTCAACAACCGCTACTTCGACGACAAGAACAAAAGCCGATCGCTCGACAACCTCCTCGACGGTCCGCCAGATATACAGGTGGGGGGATTTTTTTTTGAGTTTTTGAGTTTTTTGTTTTGTTTGTTTGATTTTTTTGTGGTTTATTTGGTAGGTGTTTGTTATTTGGCGTGTTGTTGTTTTTTGTTATCTTTTGTTATTGTATTGGTTTGTTGTTATTGTTGTTTGTTACGTTATTTATTACGTTGTATTGTATGTTTTGCTGTTATTATTAGTTGTTTTTACTATTATTGTATTACTTCTACTATTGTTTGTTAATGTCATCGTCGTCTTTGTACACATCTTAGAGATTGCTTTGTGGTTGTAATTTCATGACTTGATTGCGCTATTAGGCCTGTTTATAAATGGTTTATAGTCCTCAAGTTCATTATTAAAGTCACCCACCACGCAAATATTTATTTTTTAAAAAATCAAACTTGCATATCATAATCAGATTTTCTTCAGAAAAAATCCTCCAAGTCCTCCTCCACCTCCTTCTCATCCTCCTCCACTACCAGTACCACCACCACCTCCTACTACAATCACCTACCACCTACCACCTACCATTTACCACTTACCATTTACTATCTACCACCAACCACCTACCAATTCCCACCTACCACACTCACCTACCCCCTACCACCTACCACCTACCCCCTACCCCCTACCACCAACCACCTACCCCCTACCACCTACCCCCTACCACCTACCACCAACCATTTACCACCAACCATTTACCACCCACAACTCCCCTCCTTCAGATGCTGGGTCTGTCAAGCAGCCGCCTCAACGACCGGTACCACAGCGTCGAGAGGTTGGCGGAGCAGCGCGGCCTCTTCGGCGGCACGGAAGGCCCTCAGGATCTGGACCACCTCGAGTCCGTGTCGCAGAGGGGCGTGGCCAAGTCGCTCTCGGGATCCCGCACGTGGAACAAGTATGATCTGCTTGAAGAGAGGTAACGGATAGCGCTAGGGTTTAGTGGGATGTGTTGCTCTGTCTGTCTTTCTTTCTCTTTCTCTGTTTGTTTGTCGCTCTCTCTGTCTGTCTGTCTCTGTCTCTCTCTCTCTCTCTCTCTCTCTCTCTCTCTCTCTCTCTCTCTCTCTTCTCTCTCCCCTTCCCTCTCCCCTTCCCTCTCCCCTTCCCTCTCCCCTTCCCTCTCCCCTTCCCTCTCCCCTTCCCTCTCCCCTTCCCTCTCCCCTTCCCTCTCCCCTTCCCTCTCCCCTTCCCTCTCCCCTTCCCTCTCCCCTTCCCTCTCCCCTTCCCTCTCCCCTTCCCTCTCCCCTTCCCTCTCCCCTTCCCTCTCCCCTTCCCTCTCCCCTTCCCTCTCCCCTTCCCTCTCCCCTTCCCTCTCCCCTTCCCTCTCCCCTTCCCTCTCCCCTTCCCTCTCCCCTTCCCTCTCCCCTTCCCTCTCCCCTTCCCTCTCCCCTTCCCTCTCCCCTTCCCTCTCCCCTTCCCTCTCCCCTTCCCTCTCCCCTTCCCTCTCCCCTTCCCTCTCCCCTTCCCTCTCCCCTTCCCTCTCCCCTTCCCTCTCCCCTTCCCTCTCCCCTTCCCTCTCCCCTTCCCTCTCCCCTTCCCTCTCCCCTTCCCTCTCCCCTTCCCTCTCCCCTTCCCTCTCCCCTTCCCTCTCCCCTTCCCTCTCCCCTTCCCTCTCCCCTTCCCTCTCCCCTTCCCTCTCCCCTTCCCTCTCCCCTTCCCTCTCCCCTTCCCTCTCCCCTTCCCTCTCCCCTTCCCTCTCCCCTTCCCTCTCCCCTTCCCTCTCCCCTTCCCTCTCCCCTTCCCTCTCCCCTTCCCTCTCCCCTTCCCTCTCCCCTTCCCTCTCCCCTTCCCTCTCCCCTTCCCTCTCCCCTTCCCTCTCCCCTTCCCTCTCCCCTTCCCTCTCCCCTTCCCTCTCCCCTTCCCTCTCCCCTTCCCTCTCCCCTTCCCTCTCCCCTTCCCTCTCCCCTTCCCTCTCCCCTTCCCTCTCCCCTTCCCTCTCCCCTTCCCTCTCCCCTTCCCTCTCCCCTTCCCTCTCCCCTTCCCTCTCCCCTTCCCTCTCCCCTTCCCTCTCCCCTTCCCTCTCCCCTTCCCTCTCCCCTTCCCTCTCCCCTTCCCTCTCCCCTTCCCTCTCCCCTTCCCTCTCCCCTTCCCTCTCCCCTTCCCTCTCCCCTTCCCTCTCCCCTTCCCTCTCCCCTTCCCTCTCCCCTTCCCTCTCCCCTTCCCTCTCCCCTTCCCTCTCCCCTTCCCTCTCCCCTTCCCTCTCCCCTTCCCTCTCCCCTTCCCTCTCCCCTTCCCTCTCCCCTTCCCTCTCCCCTTCCCTCTCCCCTTCCCTCTCCCCTTCCCTCTCCCCTTCCCTCTCCCCTTCCCTCTCCCCTTCCCTCTCCCCTTCCCTCTCCCCTTCCCTCTCCCCTTCCCTCTCCCCTTCCCTCTCCCCTTCCCTCTCCCCTTCCCTCTCCCCTTCCCTCTCCCCTTCCCTCTCCCCTTCCCTCTCCCCTTCCCTCTCCCCTTCCCTCTCCCCTTCCCTCTCCCCTTCCCTCTCCCCTTCCCTCTCCCCTTCCCTCTCCCCTTCCCTCTCCCCTTCCCTCTCCCCTTCCCTCTCCCCTTCCCTCTCCCCTTCCCTCTCCCCTTCCCTCTCCCCTTCCCTCTCCCCTTCCCTCTCCCCTTCCCTCTCCCCTTCCCTCTCCCCTTCCCTCTCCCCTTCCCTCTCCCCTTCCCTCTCCCCTTCCCTCTCCCCTTCCCTCTCCCCTTCCCTCTCCCCTTCCCTCTCCCCTTCCCTCTCCCCTTCCCTCTCCCCTTCCCTCTCCCCTTCCCTCTCCCCTTCCCTCTCCCCTTCCCTCTCCCCTTCCCTCTCCCCTTCCCTCTCCCCTTCCCTCTCCCCTTCCCTCTCCCCTTCCCTCTCCCCTTCCCTCTCCCCTTCCCTCTCCCCTTCCCTCTCCCCTTCCCTCTCCCCTTCCCTCTCCCCTTCCCTCTCCCCTTCCCTCTCCCCTTCCCTCTCCCCTTCCCTCTCCCCTTCCCCTTACTCACCCCTCCCTTCCCCCTCCCCCCACAGGAACGGCGAGGACGAGGTGAAGACGGAGTACTCGCGGACGTCCAACCGATACATCAAGGGCGTGCACGCGGGGCGGCGGGGGCACGGCGGCGGCTCGCACCACTCCAGTCGGGCCTACATCGAGCGCGAGTACCTCAAGTCCTCGGCCATGTCGGATACCAGCGAGGCGCCGTCGCTCGGTGGGTGGTTGTGTGTGTTTGTTTGTGCGTGTGTGTGTGGGGGGAGGGTGTTTAGGGGGGAGGTTCGTGTGTGTGTGTGTGTGTGTGTGTTTGTTTGTTTGTGTGTGTGTATAGGGGGGAGGTTCGTGTGTGTGTGTGTGTGTGTGTGTGTGTGTTTGTTTGTGCGTGTGTGTGTGGGGGGAGGGTGTTTAGGGGGGAGGTTCGTGTGTGTGTGTGTTTGTTTGTGCGTGTTCATTTCGAGTGATTTTGTATTGTGTTTGCAAACGTCTACAATTTTTTTTTTATCTTGGATGTTATCACTCTAGCGAGAGGAACGTATCCCATTCACGACGCCTCTCCTTTATTAGCATTACGTTCCGTTCGATGTTCTGTGAAAAAATAGAAGTATTCATAATTTACCTTCATTTTTTACCTGGTGTATCATACAACATTCACTTCGGTCCTTCCTTCCAGAACGCGCCAGGGCTCCTTCAGAAGACAGAGTCTCCTCCAGACGCTGCAGGACGTCGACCTGAACGAGTCCCTGACGGCCCTGACCACGGCGCCCCTGCTGGAGGAGGCGCTCAAGGGCGGAGGCCAGGGCGCCGCCGAGGTCGAGACCGGGGCGCCGCCGCAGCCGGGGGCGGGCGGTGCCTTCTTCCCCAACGTGTCCATGTCGGGGGCGCCGGGCTCGCCTCCGCCCTTCGCCATGCCCAACACCATGCCCCTCTACACGCCCGGAGGTGAGGGTCGTCCTGCCCTTTGGCGCCGAGGGGGTAGCGATCACACAAGTGGCGTGATTGTAGAAATGGTCGAATCTTTTGTATTGAAAAACTGGAAGAATCTAGAATAGCGAATAATTCAAGTAATACTAGGAGCATTGATAGGAATAAAACATTTATCTATTACAATACACTAAGAAACAATAATCAATTAATAACAAGATCAGTGGCAGCACCAGAACACCAATGCCAAAGAATCATAACCTCCCCCAAAGGACACCCCAGCCACCAACCCCTTCGCTTCCCTTCGCAGGCGTGAACGTCCCGGGCCTCCAGCAGCAGCAACAGACGCCCCAGGCCACGAACATGACGCCCAACCAGATCCTCATGTACCAGCAGAATGTCCAGCGCGCCTTCCTGCAGTCCGCCGTGGCCCAGAACATCCAGATCCAACAACACCTGATGGCGCAGAACCAGGCGTTGCAGCAGCTCCTGTCGCAGTCGGTGCCGGTGAGTGGAACATGGGTGCTTTTCAGCCTCTCTCCGCTGCTCGTGTGAAATGCATTGTTCTTTTTTTTCTTATCTAATTATTATTTTTATTTATCTTGTGTGTGTGTTGCCATTGTGTGAGGAGTCGTGATAAAGAGTTAAGTGTGCATGCGTTATTGTTTTTTTTCTCTCTCTCTTATTTTTTTATGATCATAGAAAAAGCAAAATAAAAAGAACTTTTTTAGATGACTTTTAGGAATGATTCCTTTCCTTCGACTCCTGAGCGTGATATTTCCTGCAGCACATGGGCATGGCATCCCGGGACTTTAACCCTCAGAGTGCCCTCGGCCTAAATATACTTGGCATGATGTCCATGTCTGGCTTGCCCATGGCGGCTGGCATGCCCTTGTCGGGGATGCCGGGCTTGTCAGGGATGCCCATGGCTTCTGGAATCCCCATGACGCCGGCAATGCCCATGGCAGCGGGTATGGCCATGTCACCAGGCATGCCGATGGCCCCTGGTATGCCCGCGGGCTTATCGGTGTCATCTGGCATGCCCATGACGACTGGCGTACCCATGTCCCCCGGGCTTCCCACGACGCCAGTGCCCCCTGCGGGCATGAATGGCATCGCAGGCTTGACAGGCGTCCCGGGCATGACAGGGACCCCAGATGAACCCCAGGTTGGCAGGGCTCACTACCGGGTGGGCGGGGACACGTACTCGCTCCCCCAGAGGCGCGGCGTCGGCAGCAGCAACAAGGTACTTTGTTGGGGCCGGGAGGACACCGCCACGACGGGTCTCGCTTGTAGAGCCGTTGACTCCTTCCAGCGAGCGCTTCTAGTCACCTTTAATTCCTAGTCTCGCCTCTTTACTCACCGTAGTCGCCGGAGCAAAGGGGCCACTAGCAGGTCACTTTTCTTTAGGGGGAAAAAAACACACATAACTAACCCGCGGGGATCCACTTATAGACTCCCATGTACAGCAAAAGGGTCGGGTGTGCTTCGGACTCTGTGCTGCCCTTCTTAACCCGGACGGTGGCAGAATCTCGCCTTCCAGGGCTTTTGTCAAGGATAATGGATCACTTCTGCTTTTCATTGTATTTTTTTTTTTTTCATATTTTCCCTCCTTCTGCTTCTGAGGACAACAGGACGTATCGTACTTCTTTGTGGTCTTTCATATATATTTGTTTGTTTTTTTTCTTTCTCACACTTTGAATACCTTCTGAACAGATATATGCATAAATGTGATTATCATTTCACTGTGAGACAATCCGGTTCCACTTTTTTCTCGTTCTTTCCGACCTTTTACAAAATATAAAACGATAGCGATGGATAGATAGATAACAATGGTTCTGCGCTCACAGGTGTCGTTCCAAGAGCCCGAACAGAGCGAGCTGTGGAGCACGGAGAAGGCCGGGAGCGCCGAAGGAGGCAAGGAAGGGGCGCAAGGAGGGAGCCAGAGACCCGCCGTGCCTTCGATGTCCCCGCCTCCGCCCTTGGTGATGCTGAGTCCGGGCAGCTCGGCGCCGATGTTCTCGCAGGCGGCGGCCCTGTCCTCGCCCGTGCAGGACCAGTCGTCCAAGAAGACCTCGAACGCCTCCGATGACGCCAAGGTAGGTCGTGGGCGCCGGTGCCGTCCCTCCGCGTTAGTTGTAATGCCCCGTTAGGCTCTTATTGTGCTTGTGCTATACAGTTACACTCATGTGTCTTGTGACGGGTCAGGTGCGTCCCGCATACCACAGGGACGTCCCACTGCCCTCGTATGCATAGAAACTTCAAGGTTTAGGACATCAGTGTAACGCGTATACCTCGGTGATTAGTGATGGATCTGTGGTTTTCAGTTTTAGAGGTCTCTTTGACATCACTTCAGAGCTCATGATAGAGGGTATTAGTGACTATTCGTGGGTTGTTCGTTTTGCTTTTTTCGAGTCGATAGTAGACCCTGGGCTTCTCGTGTGCACCTCACCTGTTCAGTGGGATCGACCAAGCACCTCAGTCTCTTCTAATGCACCTGCATGCCTCTGGCTCCCCTTCTCCAACCTTCAGATGTTCCACGACTTTAGCATAGGACCTGGGTCTCCGGGCTCGCTTGGCTCGCCTCCAGGAAACGCCTTCGGAGCCACCGAGTCTCCGTGGGGGGGCGTGGTGCCGCCTCCCCCGCCCATGCCGACGCACCTGCAAGGGGAGGTATGTACGCGAGCCGAGAGCAAAAGCCGTCGAAACCGTTGTCTGTCAGAGAAAAGCCTCGAAAATGCCTGTAGTTTGCTTCTAGAATTCAGACTTTCGTCAAAGCTTTCCATGAAACAGTTAAACGTAGCGGGATAAAGTACAGAATTAATTTGCTTCCTTCCTCAAAGATTATATTTTCTCTATACATGTACAATACGATCGATTCCAGTTTGTTCGTTCCTTTCCCCTACGTAATTTCTAAACACCACAATACTGTTAACTAATTCATTCCAAATCCGGATAATGTGTTCGTTCGATTGACTATTCCCTCCGCCCTAAGGACGGACAGGGTGGCTTCATGGACCCTTACCAGCGAGCCAAGACCGTCAGGATAGGCAAGTGGCGCTGGCCTCCTCCCAAGGGCGAGGAGGATCCCAACGACTCCTTCCTGCAGTTCAAGATCAGGCAGCAGAGCAGGAAGACCTCCAAACAGAGCGACGGAAGGGTGAGTGGCGCCTCCTGGCTCTTTCTGCTTTTATTGAGGGATAATTATTTGCAAAAAAATCTGTTTATCTATCTATCTGTAATACATACACACATTTATATATCTGTGTGTACGTGCGTGCGTGAGTGCGTATGTAGACAGATAGATAGATGAATATATATACAGATTATTTCCCAAAATCCCAATATTACAGGTTAATACGAAACGTTGCTTACAATCATCCCAAGACATCTTTCATTTGCAAGGACTGTAAAATAGCCAAATATACTACTAAATAACCATCAGCAATGAGAGCCAAGGAATATCGTGCACGAGATCCAGCCGGAGCATCCCTAATGACCCTTCTCTCTCCTTCCCCCCCCCCCCCCCAGGACTCGCAGCGCCCGAGCCGCGACGAGAGCTTCGGCGTGGAGTGGGAGGAGTTCGAGATGGGCGGCATCCCGAGCAGCGCCGAGCAGAGCCCCCGCAAGGACAGCCACGAGAAGATCCAGATGCACATGCAGCAGATGCAGCTGGAGGGGCAGGCGCAGCAGCAGACCAACGGCTTCGGCCCCATATCCCCGAGGGACGCGACGGACGGCAAGGAGAAGGAGAAGGAGAAGAGCGCCCCACGCAGGCGGAGGGACTCGTGGGACAACCCCATGGACGAGGGCAAGTCGCCGGGCATCGGGAAGCTCAAGATTTCGCGCGAGATGAGGGAGAAGCTGGAGGCGCTCACGTCGTCGCATCCGTCCAGGTGAGGCGCAGGCGGCGACGGAGGGGGGCGGGATACTGCGGGGTCTTGCTGTTAATTGTTATTTGTTATTATTTTTTGTTAGTTGCTGACTTGTATCTTATTGCATTTGGCTTTGTTGACAGTAACTTGCCATTATTATTGTTATTATCACCTCCTTTGATACCACTAGTATTACTATTACTATTTTATCATCACAATCATGATCGTGATTTTTTTGTTTGTTCTTATCACTGTACATATTATCATTACCGTTGTCATCACATTATGATTATCAATATTTATCATCATAGCCCTATAACAGCGGTTATCGTTAGTGTTGTTGTAAGAGGTACCAGTAATGCAGTTATCGACACCCCCCCCACCCCCAGATCCAAGAAGAGCCCGACCCAGAAGCAGACGCGCGGCGTCCCCAAGAAGCTGGAGGCGCACCGCCAGTACCTCCTTCAGCACCAGCTGGAGGGCGACAAATGGGACACCGTGGACTCGTCCAAGGGCGTGTCGTCCAAGGGCGAGAAGGGCGCCGTGCCTCCGCCGCCGCCCATCGCCCCGCCCAACGCCTTCTCGGGCAGCTCGCGGGCGGACGTCAGGTACCACCGCTCCAAGTCCCCGGACCCGTCGGTGTCGTCGCAGGAGAGCTCGCCGGTCATCCCGCAGCCGAGGTCGCCGCCGCCGCCCATCCAGCCGTCGGGCTTCCGCGGCGGCATCGAGCTGCGCGTCGAGGCCAGCGAGCGCCGCACCTCCGTGTCCACCATGCACACCGAGAAGACGGAGCACTTCGAGCGTGAGTTGAGGCCCGCCGGCGCCTCTGGGCTTTCCGTTTACACACAATTTATCCGCCATTTAACCATTTGACCATTTAACCATTTAACCACCATTTACCTCCCATTTAAATACCATTTCCTCGTTGTTGTTGCTGCTATTATTATTGTCTTTGTTCCCTGTACGATATTGAATGAAGTAATGTTCTTTTTTGTCGGATTCCCTTGCAACATTTCCCTCTTTGTTATTGTCGGTATTCCCTGTATGCTATTGAACAAACAAATACCTTTTTGAAGTCCATCGTAGTTATACCACGTACACCACAATTCGTCCCAACCATATAACAAAAACGGACACGAAACACAACAGCAAACATCACAAATAACGAAAACGGACACGAAACACAATAACAAACATCACAAATAACGAAAACGGACACGAAACACAATAACAAACATCACAAATAACGAAAACGGACACGAAATACAATAACAAACATAATAATAAAAAAAAACGAAAACAGACACTAACGACCGCTCCCCCCCCCCCTAGTGGAGGAATCGTCCGAGTTCTTGCAGCCGGTGGACCAGGCGCCGATCCTCGTGGACAAGGAGATGGAGAAGAGGTCCTACGAGGCCATGAAGACCCGCCTGCTCCCGGCGCCGCACAGCCCCCACCTCACGTACTCGCGCGTCCCGTGGTCGCTCAGCCTCAGGAAGGAGGTCAGGATATTGGGTCTCAGGGAGGATTTGTGTGTGGGTGAGAGTGGGCTGTTGGGGAGTGTTTTGAGGGAGTGTGTGGGGAGAGATGACTGTGGGAGTGTTTTGAGGGAGTGTGTGGGGAGAGAGGGCTGGAGTATTTTAAGGGAGTGTGTGTGGGGAGAGATGACTGTGGGAGTGTGTGTGGGGAGAGAAGGCTTAGAGGAGTGGTTTGAGGGAGCATGTGTTTGTAAAGTAATGTTCGGGAGGAGTGTGCGTGGGGAGGGAGGGCTGGGAGTGCTGTGAGGGTGTGCGTGTGTAATGGAGTGCTTTGCAGAAGTGTGTGTGTGTGTGTGTGTGTGTGTGTGTGTGTGTGTGTGTGTGTGTGTGTGTGTGTGTGTGTGTGTGTGTGTGTGTGTGTGTGTGTGTGTGTAAATGGGTGCTTTAGAGTAGTGTGTATGTATGTATGTATATATATATTTTTTTTTTAACAGCCATTCATTCCACTACAGGACATAGGCCTCTCTCTATTCACTATTGTGAGGTTATATATATATATATATATATATATATATATATATATATATATATATATATATATATATATATATATAT